GGGTGGTGCGGTATTTAAAATTAGCCCATACATATTGTGAAATATTTTTTGTAATAAATTCATTTCAAGACATGCAAGATAATCCTTTATTAATTCAAAACATCTCACTGTTTTACAACAAGAAGGAGAAAGAAAATGAAAGCATACCGTAGATATCAAAGGAAAAGCATTCTGTTGTAGAATAAGGCAGCCTTCTAAAGGAAAAGGACATTTCTGGTTGGAAGCAGCTAAGAGCATCTTTTTTGTGTGTTTTTTTTGTTTTGGTTTTTGGGTTTTTGTTTTGCTTTTTTAAAGTGAGGTAACTGTGACCAAAACAAGAGACAATTCACTTGGTGATGAGTAATGAATCAGGGCAAAGGTCTTGACAATTGCATTGAGTGCATCACACTTCAGCCTTTGAACGTTAGTAGCAGGGACAGCCTGCCTATCAAGTCACCAGCTTCTTATCAGCTAGTAAGTTTGCTTTGTCCCTCATTTCTTTTTCTAGTCATATAGGTCTAGGCTTGGGGCTTCAGATAACTAAAGATGCTTCACAGAAGAGAATACTGATGACTTGCAAAACAAACCCGTTTTTGGGGTAGTGCATGGGATGTTCCCCTGAGCCCTTCTATTTTGATTGTTCAGCTTTTACATCAAGTTGCTGCTGACAAGAGCTGCTTTTGTAGGTCACCTTCAATTCCAATTTTCTGGACTTTCCCTGATACTTCTCACTAGTTTCACCTGACAGGTTTAGTGTCAAATGGCTCAGAGCACTCTGACTTCAGGGCAGTAGCAAACATTGAAAAGAAACAAAGAATAAGTTTATCCAAGTTTGCTTCAAATACACTCCAACCAAGGAGCTTTCTCTACTATGCAATGCCCCAGTCTCACCCCCACAGACCATAAATTATTGCTTAGCCTTTATCCCCCTCCTGATAACATTTGCTATGCACTTGTCACTGGGGGAAGGAAGGGAGGGTATGACACATGCTGAAAATAAATCACACCAGTATCGAAATCTGATTATAAATATTTGTTTAATGAGAATTAATCAGACAATGGACATACTGAATAAGCAGTCCTCTGCTCAGTTTCCTAAGACAAAGATTAACAGCTTAGTCCTGCAATTCAAGAATTTGAAAGTCTCTACCACCTTCGATAACTGAAAAGCAAAATCAAGTATCTTTAGAATCAGTTTTAAGAAACAAAATTAAAAAGCAAAGCCTCCTTTGCTATAGTTAAAATTCTAAGAAAAAAACAAATTTGTAGGTGTACCTGATGATGCTGAATGTTCTTTATATTACAAGAAAACTCATGGTACAGTTGGAATTTATTGATATCTTTTTCATTTCCACTTTTGGACGACACTTTTGCCAAGGCTGACTGGATACAAATGTACCTTTGCTGACATCTGAATAAAAGAAACCAATGTTAATAAGGTATTTTAGCATGAAGCTTGTAACAAGTCATTAATGTTTGTATTAAATAAAAATTAATTTTGGAGTCTGCCCAATTACAAGTTATGTTAACCCCAACTACATGCAGAACTGTATTACATATCTTAATGCTGAGACTGACATAACACATACTGGCTAGAACACAGCAAGAGAAGAAATTTAAGCAGACATCAGAAAAAGCTGAACACAGCCCTTCTCCTGAAGGGAATGGATACTCAAAAGCCACTATCTGCACTTCGGTTTAGTCAGTTATTGGTTCAACTTCACACAACAAATTTTGGGAAGTTGCAAAAAAATTATAGCAGTTATCTGTTTTATAGAAATGCAACATCTCTCTTGAATCTACCCAGCTTCAGGATTAATTTCATCCTTTGAGCACTTAACACTCATAAAACTCTTCATTATTCTTAGGAGTAACAGGGATCCCAAACAGATAGCTTCCTGAATGCTCCTCATGATTATTATACATACGACACTTTAGATCAAGAGGATGTATCTACAGAGCGCTGTGTATCCAATTAAGGAGCTTCTAGTGGTCAAAAGAATGAAAGTGATAGTCTGGCAATGACAGCACATCCTTTACAAAACCACCCCCTCATTGAAATTATCACATTGCTGTGCTCTAGCCTTTTGCTGAAGTTGGCCATTACTCATGATAAAGAGCAAACAAGAGTCAACTGAACAGAACCGAGCAAATTCAAACCAACACTGCATGCTCCTAAGAAGGTATCTGTTCTTTGATAACCCTGTTCTGTCCCAGATAGTACACAGCCGAGGAGAAAAAAAAAAAAACCAAACCCAAAACAAACAAGCAAATATTACTGTCACATCAACCCCCTGGCCATGACAAATAACCTTGAAGTCATTACATAACATCAGAAAACTTAAAGTCAGCTAACACAGCCACAGGATCAGTAACTCCTGCTTTAAAAACAGTCTCATTTGCTTGCCTAATTGTCTTCCAATGCCAAAATCAACCATCACTGCATGCTAATTACACTCACTGGTGTCAAGCAGCAAATATTGGAGCAATAATAAATAAATAGTAAATATTGGAGCAGATACACCTCTGGAAAGTCACAGCTTGAAGGAAGTGCAAGGAGAGAAAACTTTCCTCTACAGATCATTAACTGCAAGGGAGATACGTTCTATATGGAACAGTCTTTGGGAGTCATGGTGTCAAGCCATGCTCACAGGAGATTTCTCCTTCACTGATAGCCAGTCAGGCAGAAAGGCTAGAGAACATCTCCAGCACAAGTGAAGGAATGGACCTAAAGTAACACTGTTTTCACATCATTAAAAGCCATGAATTACACATCTGCACAGTAGGAGACTGAATCTTATCATGTAACCAGGAAAATTTTGGAAAAATTAAAAAAAAAAAAAACCAAACTTACAATTTCCTGATAAAATCCAGTGTATCTTTATCTTTAGCAAAGATGTCAGCTAAAATATGTTGTACTCCAGCCTCTACTTCCTTGATAGTTGAAAGCCCTTAGAAGAAAAAAGTTAATAATTATAAAAAACTAATATGAAAAATTACTTTACACAACTGCACAAGCACTAATAAAATATATACAAGCTGAAAGAAAACTGATGCAAGATACCGAACTGATTTGTAGAAGTTACAGTGAAGAATTCCAGTTCATTAGAAGTTTTTTAATAAAGCTTCCTTTCCAAAACATCTGAAACAATTTTTAATGAGCCTAAAGTGACCAATGCAGTATCATAAATTAAAATTACATGAAAATGAGAGAAAAATATATAATTTTGTGACTTTGATGCTAACAGATCTTGACATTTATGATGCAAATTAATTATTTATTTACAACAGTAAAATTAGATATTCAAGTATAATTTTTGTGGTCATAATAAAATGAGCAGCACAAGTTTACACATTTTGCTACTGATATAGAAACTGCCTAAAATCTTTGCAGGCAATCCTGTTTTATAGTTCCACTGGTTTGTAGCAGGAGTTTGTACAGTGACACTTCTGAGGTCAGGCTACCTTCATCCTCTCCCATGAAGCACTGTTCAGACAGTGAAGTTATAAAATGTCTCCACAGACAAAAGTATTCTCAAGAGCTAACAACAGAATCATTCAGCTTTCCAACACACAGAACCATTCCTCCCTTCAGAAGACCAGAAGAGGTAGCACAGCATTCTCCTTAGCACAGTGGTTGAATTGGACCAGAACCAGAAGCTAATGAAATAAAACTGACATCTTGTATTTTAAAATCAATATATGTAACCCTGTTTCTAGCAAGTCAGTAACAAATGCTTCAGAGCAAAAAGCAAGAACCTAGAGTTGGCAGATGCAGGATTAACTGTCTCCTTCGATACACATTATTTTTTACTCTGCTGTCTGACGGACTACCGATATCTCGAAAGACCTTTATTAATGCCATTAGAAAAAACCTGCATAGCTCTAATAGCTACATATTTTCATTGAATCCAGAACCCTGCTTCTGATTGGGCTATAGAGTTATACACCATAAAAAAAATTAATCTTGCCCTTTTTTAAAAAGGGGAAGCTAAGCTTACCCGCCAGAAAGAAAAATAAAAGTGTGAGAACAAGAATATGTTATTAAATGCCTGAACTGATCAGAAGTTGTGGAATTTGGCTCTTTACATCTATGAGTTAGTGTTTCGTACAGTAAAAGTAATGTAACATTGGAATACAAAGCTAAGGAAATTATAAAACAAGCATTATATTGAATATGAATTACTATGAGACACTCAAGTACCAGAAGTGTACATGGTGACATTATTTCAATTCTAGCAGAGAATTTGAATGAGATAGAACAGACCAAAACCAATCAGCATTAAAGAAATAATCAGAAAGTTCTCATTCAACAAGCACCACTCACATGGGCATTAACTGTGTCCATTGTAAAAAGAGCACATGCTTGTTTAATTAGAGAAATAGTGGACCGTACAACTAAAAGGAAGAACAAAGTTTTCCGGTGAGCCTACTTCCATAACTTTCAATATCTGGCTTTGAAACATGAACTGCTGTTTTTATTTCAGTCTATTTTTAGTATAAGTTTAAAAACACTGAGAATTTAAAATTTTAACACAAATTCACTCTGATCTCAAACCGTATATAGGTTGTCAACCTGGCTCCCAAGTTGATAAAAGTAACCCAGTTCATATATATATACAGTTTCTGATATGCTTTTCAAATGGTAACCATTACATAAACCTAGCACAAAATTGACAATAGGTGTACCAATTCAAAAAATTGAAGTGTATATGCTGCAACAAATAGCACTCCCTTCTGAATGCACCCTAAATAATTTATTTGAACTTTCACCGTGAAGATTTTAATTTGGTTCTTCAGACTCTGCCAGAATACAGACATGTGGCTGCAATATACTGCTGTATGAAATAATGACACGTGCTAAAATGCAGTAATTAGATAAACAGAATATTTGGTAACTGATTTTTCAATGCAAAGTAAGGATCATCTTACCAACAATATTTAAATAAAAGAACAACAAAAGTGGGAAGAGTAAGAGTCAGTCTCACCAGTAGGCTCAGCACTTCTATGTTAAAATTCAAAAAATAAATGCTGGGGTAGGGAAGAAGAAAAGCACTTCTCTAACACCATACAGAAGGTTGCAGCAGTCTTCACATTTTATTGTCAGAGATTGCCCCCTACAGATTCACCCATAACTGCACTCACAAAGCAACACAATTCTGCAGTCTATGTGTGACAATCATATCATTAAAGTTCCTACTCAAATTTCAGAGACTACATCTTCTCCAACCCCTACTGTCATTCAATAGCAAAAACTCTCTCCCGCTCACTCCCAGTCATCAAGGCCAGTTTTTAATTAAGATATGCTTTGATGGATGACATTTAGTTCAGTAAAAGGTGTGAGCATAAGCCTCGTACACAATCAGCATTGAATCTTCCGTAAACAATTCAAGTAAGAGTAGAACCATGGAGAGGTCTCGGCTGTGCGGTGCAGTTCCCTCTCTCTTACCAGTAAATACAGATGTCAACTATACTCTAACATCTCCAGACTTCTGTCTCCTGGTATACCAGAATTACTACTATTTACAGCACAAAAAGACAGGAAAGGTTTGGGAACAATGGCATTAAATTTAAGATCTACCACATGCTGCTAAAAGAACTGTGGAATTTAAGGTAGTTGAATAATGCAACATGAGAACAATTAAAATAATTTCTCTTTTAAAACATTTTCAGGCTTTTAAGACATTACTGCTCATAGAAGTACAGCGCTTACCCTTGGTATTAGGTCTAATGTAAGAAAAGAGATTGAGTTCCATAGGATTGTGCAGAAGGGAGAGAGCAGCAGGTTCTAATCCCAGCTGCTTGGCCCTCTGGGCTTTGGTGCCTTTACTCCCAGTTTTATAAGGTGCGGACTTTAAAACAAACAAAAAGATACAGTTATTAAAAGGCAAGGAAATATTTCAGTCATGCTGTGTACTTTGCATTATGCACTATTTAGTTAGGCAAGATTACATTTAAACTAAGGATGATTGAAAAAGACTAGTGTACTGACCACATGGTCTAATTCTTCCAAAGTTCTGCAATTTAATAATGCTGTTAAAAGGCATCCGGATAATTTCCCTTCTTTCTTCAACTTCTGTATCATTGTATGCGTCTTCTTTGCAACAGTACTAAAATGCAACAGATTGATATTAGCAGTCACATTCCATGGTGGATTAAAAAGGCTACTAATTGTGACCTTGTTTACTACACTGCTGAAGCTCTCTCAAACCCCTGAAGATTGTGTCTCATGCTAATCGTCAACAAAACAAGTATGACAATCCAAAAGTGTTTCTAACTATTACTCTCTTTCTGCAATGAGTTCAAAACTCTATCACAGTATCTTGTGGTAGCTTTAAGAAAAATCATCAAACAATACCGACAGTCATTACTGCTATATACATTTTTGCAAGATTACTGGCCTTGAAGCCAAATAAAAATGCCCCAAGTTAAATCCACGTTGATGAGCACTTACAGTTCTAATTCATATCACGATAGTACTGCAGTATCAAGTACAGGGTACCAGATTTTAAACAGTTAGACCTTCAATAAGATACCTGTGAGCAACCACAGGCAGCAAAGGTATTTTGTTATGATTTAAACTACTTGTTCACACAAGTGCTATCTCAGGCCACCTTCCCTCTTTGGAAAGAATCTCCTGCCAGGGGATAGCCAGGGAGTACAAGGGGGAAGACACCATGTTGACAGAACCTCTGGCAAGACTGTTCCCCTGCCATCTCCAGGACATACAGCCACCCAAAAGCAAGGAGTAGTGAGAGCAGTCTCTGCCACCCCTACAGTGGGCTTTGCCGATCATTTTCTTTGCTGCAGTGGTCCGTGATGGTTTAGTCTGCCCTCCTGAGGCACCACAACCTCAGGAAGTGCTCTTCACTAGAGGCTTCAGTGTTCTGAGTGAGGAGCCAAGGGATTCTTAGTGATTCTTCTTCTAAGGGTGCAGCTTACATCTAATTGGCCTAGGTATCTCCAGGACCTGTAAGCTACTAAAACTGCATAAAGGTTAAGATCTTAATTTTTCTTTGGCAATTAATAATGCTACGTTTCTTGCTACTTAGAGTAAAAACAGACAGGCATCAAGCATAATTACTTTAGTTTTAAACTTTCTTCTTTAGGAGTTCCTTTATAATTGCAGTGTGTACAAAATGCCAAAACAGGGACACAGAAACAGCAGCTGGTTGTTACTTACCTCCCCCCCAGATACCTGCCTGTATTAACTTACTTACCGTAGCTCTTCCAATGCTTGCTGCACTTCTCGCAAGGCATCGGCCTCCAGATTATTGATGAGTTCTTTTCGATAGCGAGCAATAAAAGGAATTGTGTTTTCTTCTTGAAAGAGGCGAATTAAGTTTGCACATACCCATGGTTCAACATTTGTTATTTCTGACAAGGCCTGTCACAAGCAAAAAAAGAAACAAAAAAAAAGATTTAAGAAAGGCGATAGATTGCTTTAAACAACCTCTCATTCAAAGTTCAAAACCACCTGCAGAATATTATGCTGGCCAGCAGGGACTACTGTCCTCCCTAAGACAGGATACCAGGCTTCCCATGCATCCAGCCACCACACCCAGTACTTCAGAAAGACATACAGCAACCAGTGTTTCCAGAAACTTGTAACTACAGAAAAAAAAAAAAAAATGCAGGAAGGAGTGCCCCGGGGGAACAGAAAAAACCCATACAATTAAAAAAAACCAAAACAACACAAACCCAGAAAGACAACAAACAGCACATGGCAACTCAGAAAACACCAAACTTTTTGGTTTTTTTATACTAACACTGACATACCTCATGGTTAAACAAAACAAACAAACCCCACAAACCCAAAGCTGATCCAAATCCCACTCCACCAATAACTGGAAACTAGCACGACATTGCTAAAAGTTTCAAGATGAACCAAGCCTCAAAGTTAAACATGTTTTTGTACAAAGTGAGCTTTCTAAAGATAAAGGTATAGTGTATCAACATGGAATAGAGGACAAACTATACAAGTACCTTAGCTTAGTAACATTTTAACTATCACAGTTTGTACTTCACTACATTTATTCCCATAGACGGCTCATTTACAAGCCTTTTGAAAGTTTTGTTCTGAAGCCTATCATATTCACTGCTTTTAGAGCAGCAATACATAAAGATCAAATTCTCCATCTGCATTTCCAGGAATATTTTAGAAGACTCAGGAACAAAATTTTACACCTTTCTTAAGCAGGCAGTACTAAGGATGATGAATAGGATGTACTCAATCTATTCCTATTCTGTTCATATTAAAATCTTCCATAACCATACCCAGCCTCCCAGAACACGAGCTATCCTAAAACTGTCTTCATCTGAACAGCTTCAAAGTTAACATCCCACAAAAACAAAGATGATATCTCCCTTGATGTCACTGTTGTTCCAAGAATGCAGTCTCCTCCTTGATGGTACTGTAAATTGATATACAGTCTTAAACGAGTCTCTACAATGAAATGATCCACACTAAATCTTAAACTCTGAAACTAGGCACACAGGCATCCCAAATCTTTCACCATCCCTTCCTGTACGAGTTTCAGTTGACTCTATCCATTAAAAAAAAAAAACAGTGCTGAGACAGAAGAAATGTGCAAACTGTTACAGGCTAGCTTTATACTAAGGACTGCCTAAGTCCTCGGCATATTTGAATAATGTTGAACTTTTAACAGTTACCAACCAACATTTATATTTATACACGTATTACGACAACTTAAGCAGAAGTTAAATGACTGCTTAACAGCACAATGACTCTCTGACACTCCAACTGATGCCAGGAGGACTCAAATTGTATGTTAGAAACTAAGTGCTAATTATGTAGGAAATGGTTCCACTGATACCTCAAAAAAGGAAAAGATCTCATACCTGTACAATATCCCAGTTCATTTCAAATTCTTCTTTTACTTTGCTGCCTCCTAGGTTCTTTACTGGCTTTCCTTCAGAACATGTAGTTGACTTAATCTTTTTAAAAGGTGGTTCATCAAATGCAAAATCCTCCTCAGATTTTTCATGTTTCACTTGATTTCCCACTACAGGAATGCTTGTTGAGGGTTTTTCATCACTCTCCAAACTCTCTACATTCTTCGCTTGGAATGAATTTATTTCCATTTTTTTTGGCACTTCTGGCTTTTGATTTGAAGTTTTTGGTTTAGTGCCTACATCTTCTTCCTTAGGTGTTAAAAGCTGCATTCTATTATCTTCCACAGGAGCAATAGGCAAGGGTACATCCTGCCAAAATGCATTGAAACCATATTAAGCATTGACTGTTACAAACTGGTTCAACATTGCAATTAAAACCTAGGAAGACTTGATACCAGACATCATTTTCCCCAAGTGATGTCTCTGGCAGGAAAATGCCAAGCCAGAAATCAAGTAACCTGAAATATATCTTGTGTGGAGAAAGATACAAACATACCCAGTAGAACTGTGATTTAAAAGATCAAATAAAATTATCCTGGGAAGACTTTAATTGGGCTCTCCTTCAGAAGACACTGACCTACAGTCCTTGCCTCCACTCAACAAAACAGGGAATATCAAGGCAGGGAAGCACTCTTCGAATGAGGTGTTAGGTGTAGCATGGGAACTGGAACTGAGATTTGGTCTGCTAAGATACTGTTTAAGCTTAGACAAGCCACACCTTTCCTGAATTTCCCCAGAGATCTTCTTCAGAGTCCAAGAATGTATTTCTCAATATGCCACATACGTCAACACGTTCAGAAACATCACTATAAACCAGAAGGACTGGTGTCTGTCATGACCTGACCTCTGATGTTAATCTTTGACAGAAGTAAGTAACTTCTATCACAAGTGCATCTTATATTCACCGTAATAAAACTGCAGTCCTTACTGGGTTGAACAGACATGCAGGGAAACATAAGTACAGGCCTTCTTTTCATTGTGGTACCCAGCTGGTGAAAGATAGAAGACATCAAAGGTGCAACACAGAAACCAGAGATAATAAAGTGTTTAGTTTTCATTACAGAAAGAAGAACAGAGGTTATTTATTTATTTTTGTTGTTGAAAGAGATCTCCAGGGAAAACCATGTCCCATTATCATTGGCCAAAATTTTAAAGCAGGGTCCTTAGATCTTGGACACTTAAATACGTAAGAAAGCCATGTTTATCATGAATATTCACAGTAACAGTGGAATCAGATGAGCTGATCAGACTTAGGCAACCAAGTGAACCAGAGGTAGAAAAATTCTGCTCATGTTACTTGCCAACCGCAGCAATTAAAGGTCTCTTCCTTACAAATACTCACCACTTCCTCTTTTATTGCTACCTTCTTGACCTTTTTCCTGGCCACAGCTGACCGTGGAGCAGCAACTTTTTTAGTTTTTGCCTCATTTTTCTTTGGCAACCGAGGTCTCTTTGCAATTTTGCTTTTTGGCTCCCACTCCTCCTCTTCCTCCTCTGATTCAGAGTTCCTAAAAATCAAATGAGTGAACAATATTGCTTATGAGAAGAATAAAAAAAAAAATACATAAGCAAGCCAGTCTGAGTGTCTTCTGACATGAAAGGAAGCGAACAGGAAAAATGAACGGAAAGGTAGGGAGGCAGACTCAACAAATACAGATCTTTCATGCTGTTGCAGGGCTAATGGCTGGAACAATTTACCAAGCTTTCCTGAAGCTGGTCACTGGGATGTGTACACACCCAATTCTGTTTGGACAACTGGCAATTTAGTTTCACCCTATTTTCACTGTGAGCATGAAGCAGCATGGGTAATCCGTGTTTTATAATTGAAGTTTTGTGCATTAAAACTTTTTAATCAACCTCTCAGAAACTGAGTGTTGTTCTTCAGCAATAGCTCATGCTTAGCATAAACTTTAAAAAAAATTGTAAGGAAAAAAGTAATCTTACGAATTAAGAAATGAAGGTAGTTCATCATCTTGTGATATAAGGGCTTTGGCTTCGGATTTCACCCTCCTTGGTAGAGATGACATCTGAAACAGATGTGAGAAGAGAGAAATAGAACGTTCAGCTGAAGTTGTATTCTCTTATTCAGCCCTTTAACTCACTGCCAACTGTGCCCCCATAATGTCTTCACCAATCACAAAAGTTTCCTCTAGAGCAAGTTTAGATTTCTTAGTATCCAAGAATTTAGGCCACAGCAGCACACATTCAACAACCTTTTCAACTGAGCAAACAAACAAGCACTATAGCCTCTCAAATCACTCTTCTCTTCAAATGGAGGTAATTATTTGTCTTGCATGTAAAGCTATCTTAGCAAAAAGAGTACTGGTTCTCAGACATATTACTGGGTGTCACTTACGTACTGCACCAGTCCTTCCTCCATCACCCTAAGCAGCAGAGAAAATAAAATTAAGATCTAGTAAAGTGAGCTTGCGTATGGTTTTGATGTGAACAGGACTACAAGAAGATTGTCCATTTTGATCCAGAATTTCACCTTTAAAGACTATCCGTTGCTTGTATGCATAATAAAAACAATGATGTTGAAAGAGCTGCTTATAAGCATATAGAAAGTGCATAAAACAATTACCAAGGTAAAAAGGGAAGGCACAGACTTTCTCCTGACCTGAGATTCACACCTACAATAGCTGCATTTCAGTTAATCAGTTACAGAATTTTTGGCAATGTTTGGGCCCATGAATTTCAATAATTATATTTGGCAGTTTTAGTTAGAGAATTTTAGGTACCCTCAAAATTTTACCTGCCAGAAAATTAAAATAATAAGAAAAAAAAAAACATAAAGCATTTCTATAACTATAAAATTCATGAACATATTTTACCTATATCTAGTACAATTTCATCATTCTTCACATTCTGTTCTCAAGCTCTCGTACCCAAAAAAACTTTTTGCACCTTGACCTTTGATTCAGCCTTACCACTGCGATGCCAGCCTTAAAGTCCCCTGTTTGCACATACAAACTGGATAAGCATTTTGCAAAGTGCCATTTAACTCAAGGGCGAAACGCTCTTTAATCCAACTTCATTCTGGCCTCTGTTCAAGCACTAGAAGCTAACTATTCTTCTAAATGGCTTTCAACAAGTTTTCCTTGTAAAGCAGTACCAGAACCTAAGTGACCATTTTCAGCACCACAGTGGAAGGAGGACTGTTGAGGCCCACATCAAATAGCACTAGCTATTAGCTTGCTTGCAAAATGCCTTCTTGTGGAAATTGTCATGGTCAGTATCAGGTCAGCATTTCTGTGCTGTTCCACTGACTGAAATCCCATTATGTGACCAGTTAGAATACACGTCTGCCATAGGAAAATAGAAATCTCCACAGAACACAAAAAATATTACTCACCTTATTAGCTTCCCAGGTGACTTTTCGCTGTCAGTTCTGACACTTTCACCCAGCCACTCTGTTTTCCTTTGCTTTTTATAGCTGAATGGTCATTATCATAGTCTTGAATTAATTATTTTATTTATTTCCATTACCTCAGAAGCATGAAAATAGTGTTTCCATTTTACATTGTACTTTTATCTGTGAATGGGAGAAACAAAAAACATTATTCATGTTTGCAACACCAAGATTTCCAGAATTCGGTAACACCTGAGCCAGATGGATCTCTGATCCATTTTTTGCAGGCACTGGGACACTTTTCACATGGTTAGGTCTCACAGTTCTCTCTGTTTTCAAACTAGGTGTTTAGCTTACAGTATCGTTATCAGTCATGCTTCTTCAGCTAATCTAACTAGGTGGGTATTTTTTAGTATACCAAGGAAAAAGCCAACACACATGTTCTCTCACCTGAGGTCAGCATTCCCCCTACATAACACCACTGTCCAAACCTCCCTGCCAGTTTTGGACACTCAGCATACTACCCATGATAGTTTGGGAGCTCACCCAAAAGCCCAGCTAAAAGGAAGGCCTCATCCGGAAGGTCTTTTATCTGTTAATATTTTTCCTCTCATGTCAACTGGCCAAGGGCAGGGTCTCAAAATACCTCAACATTTGTACTGTTACATTAAGTAAAATTACAACAAGAGTAAAGCTTACTCTGTATAGTTAATTGTGCTTCCTGCCATCCAACATTGGCAACTGATTTAACTCTTCAGATCAGCATAAGAATAGGAGATGGGCTCCTTGTTTATGAAACCAGGCATTTTCCGCATTCTTCATGAACAGATTAGTATTTGCTCCTACATCCTTAAGTCTGAGAATTACCATATAGCAAATATAAAAATGGCATAGGAAAGCATGAAATAGAATAGAAAGTGATATGTAATAAGGCTAAGTCTTTATGGGACAGTTCAATGTTTGGGTTTGGGTTTTTTTCCCTTTTGATTTCTTGGATTTTCCACTTTAAAAAAATAATCAGATCATCTTTTAAGCATTTGTTGCCGTCCTTCAGAAAGCTGAAGAAGTATCAAAAATGTCTGATCCAGAAGATCAAAGAAGATAAGACCAGCACAGAATCTGTCCTCTGCCCCACTCATGAATATTGTGTCAGTTCTTACAAGCACATAGTGAGTTGGGACTGGCCTCAGATACATAAATTCCAACTTTAATTATATTATTAATCTACTAAATTTTCTTGAGAAGAGTGGTAACTTTGTTCCTAAAGGCTTTTGTACCTGCACCTAAAGTTAATCTGAACTAAGGGAAGATGTGAATTTTAAAGCACAAAACATTTCAGAATAACTCTCCATGAACAGTCAAGCTGTGGTCAGAAGCCAAAATGGAGTTCTACAGCTCAAAATAAAAGCCCAATACCAAAGAGCATCTGTGAGATGAATATCAAACATGGGGTACCACAAAGGGAAGAAAAAAAAGTCACGATGTTTCACTGTGAGATGGGGCCAAGTCATAACCACTTCCCCTTCTAATAATGTATACATCAAACTAACTGTACTTCGTATTTGTAGAAAAGGGATCTTGCAGTTGCTTCTTTTTGTTTACATAGAATAATTTTTTTATTTGAATCCTCAAAAGTACTTCTGATTTGATTCCAAATTGCCAGACAGCTATCTGCTAAATTTTTCTCCTGAGCTGCCTGCACTAGGGTGTGCTAACACCTACAGTTAATGACTAAGAAAAACAGACCTTCCGTGATTCACTGCAGAGGGGGAGGCAGGGAAGAGGATGAAAAAGCAACAAGCCTAAATGCCACTGATGATGATGAATAACTATTACAGATTTTTTTTTAAAAAAAAGCTTAGAGACAGCCTCTGAAGTAAGGCAGGAAGACTCAAGAAACAGGCAAACACAGTTATGCTCCACATGGGGCATCTACAACGCTGACTGCACTGACTACCTGACAAGGCAATCAAACAAGCTATTGACTGCTCCGTGGGATATGGTCCCCCATGTCTCCTGCCTCAAGTGTTGAGGGAGCTTGGAAGAGCTTTATTCATCCTCCCACAGCATGCTGGGATCAAGATGGCATGAAGCTGGCCACTTATCTCCTATTATATTTTCCAGATAGACTGGCCTCTGTGGAAAAACTGCCTTTACCTTGTCCTTCTCTGTCACCTCCAGGTAACCATATGCAAAGCAAGGGCTGGTTTCTACTTTGAGGAAAGAAACTATAGCTTGCATGGCTCTGTGTCCCCCTCCCAAATCCAGAAAAGTCCCATAGCTGTAGAAGAGCCAATTACAAAAATGACTGCTTCTTGAAAAACAGGGAGTAACCAATTTATACCAGACACAAGTCAGAGTAAACTTTTCCCTCTCCTTTGTCTGTGTTCAGTATTGCTGTACATTATTGCAGGTGTTTGCAGTGCCTGGACTACTGGCGTCTCCTGTACTTATCACCTGAAGGAAGTAAACATGCAGTATCCAGGGATGTGCACAAGTTATCCCCGTGTAGGGTTTCACTGGCTTGCCAGCTGGCATATTGAACTGCTACAGTTCTGTTCTAGCAACTCTCCTCACACCTGAGGCCAGCAAACTTCCAAGTAATGTTTGCTAACATATTATTTTTATCTTATTTTAGGTATGTTGTCAGAAGCTTTGCAGTCATTAAAAAAAAATGTTGTTCTTTGAGAAAAAGAGTTCTTAATCATCTCACCAACAGTATTTTACTTCCAATGCCAGGCAACAGGAGCTAGGAGCTAGAAACTTCAGCCTTGCCCACATACTTGAGCTCCCAACTCCTGCTTCATTTCAGATTGGTCCATGTACAATATTTTGCCTCTGTGCAACAGGCTGAAACCTTAATGCTGAACCTTCATACTAGTCCCTTGATCGCCTGTTCAAAAGAATCAAAACTATTCCGCCTGTCCATCTCCCAAATGACAGCAGGCAGCAATGAAACTTCATTGCTTGAGACCCCTGAATTCTCTTTGCTCCACACACAGAGTCATCACTAAAGCCTTGCTTCTCCACAAACCCCAAAACAGTTACAGTGTGTTCTTCAAAAGTACTTCCCACTTAAAAATGGAAAAGGACTTTGCAGAGCTATTATTGCTGTCCAGTGAAGAAGAGCTGAAACTATTTAAATCATTGCTATTGTAGATATATTTATCTCCCAGGTCTACTCTCTAAATAGTTTGGCATCAGTTTTGTTGCCAGTTCTTTCATTCCCACCATGTCTATTCTCTGCATCCGATGCAGAGCTCCACAATGCATTCGAGCTATCCTGATGGCTGTAAATAGCACACTTCTCCATGCCTGTCAGCTACTCATTAAAATAAGGCTAGCGTAGTTTGGTGCTCGGCCATGCCAGGAATAAAGAAGAGTGACAGGGTAGCTCTTATTATACTTCACTGTACAGAATTTTAACATGGGTATGCACAAAACATACAGCAAGAGAGTAATCATTCCTCTGGTCTCTCACCCCAAATAGAAGTTCTAGGCAGCATGTAGAATATAAGAAAATTGAGGCTTTAAAGGCCTTATGTTAAAGAGCAATCCAAGTTGCATTTAGAGAATGATATTCTCTTCAACCTCCCTATTCATGCAAAGATACAACCCGTTAAAAGTAAACTTCACCGTAAGCGAATCGAGGTGACATAAACAACGGCTTGCAGA